GAAAACTGGACAGCCACAGGCTAAAGATTGAATCTAGACCACTACCTTACACAGAAAATGTCCAAATGGGTAAAAGTACTGAATATAAGGCCTAGAACCATAAAACACATTGAAGAAAACATAAACAGTAAGCTCCCTGATGTCATTCTCAAAAGTGTCTCTGTGGATTCAACTCCAAAGGCAAAAATAATGAAACAGGACTACATCAAACTAAACAGCTTCTACCTAGCAAAGGAAAATATCAACAAAATGAAAATGTCACCTACCAAAAAGAAAAGATATATGCAAACTATACATCCAATAACGGGTTAATATAAAAAAATATATAAAGAACTCATACATCTCAACAACAACAAAATAACCCAACAGCTCTATTAAAAAGGAGATGGCCCTGGCAGGTTTGGCTCAGTGGTAAAAAGCATCAGACCACAGACCAAAGAGTCGCAGGTTAGATTCCGGTCAAGGGCACATACCTCAGTTGTGGTACGTCCCCAGCCCTGGTCGGTGTCATGCGGGAGGCAGCCAGTTGATGTCTCTCTCACATTAATGTTTCTCTCTTTCTCTCTCCCTCCCTCCCACTCTACCTGAAGATAAATAGAAAAATATCCTCAGGTGAGGATTAAAAAATAAAGATGTTCTGAATAAAGATTTTTCTAAAGAAGACATACAGGTGTCCAACAGGCACATGGAAAGATGTTCAACATCACTAATTATTAGGGAAATGTAAATCCAAACCACAATGAGATATTACATCACCTGTTAGAATGACTATCATCAAAAAGACAATAGCCCTGGCCGGTGTGGCTCATTGGTTATAGCATTGGCCTGCACACTGAAGGGTTGCTGGTTTGATTCTTGGTCAAGGGCACATACCTGGGTTTTGGGCTTGCTCCCTGGCCCTAGTCCAGGTGGAGCAGGTGTGGGAAGCAACCAATTGATGTGTCTCTCACATTGATGTTTCTCTTTCCCCCTCCCTCCCTTCCACTCTCTAAAAAAATCCTCAGATGAGGATTAGCAACATCAATAACAAAAGGCATTAGAAACAAGTGTTGGAGAGGATGCAGAGAAATACAAACTTTTGTATACTGTTGGTAGGAATGTAAATCAGTACAGCCACTATGAAAAACTATAGGGAGATTGCTCAAAAAAATTAAGACTAAAACTACCATAAGTTCCACCTATCCCACTTCTGGGTATTTGTACAAAGAATATGAAAACATATATGCACCCCTATGTTCAGTGCAGCATTATTTACAATAGCCAAGATATGGAAACAATTTAAGTGTTTATAGACACTTATGTGAGATATCTATCTATACAAAAACATACATATATATCTACATATCTCTCTATATATGAATACTCTTCAGCTATAAAAAAGTGATACCCTGCCTTTTGTGAAAACATGAATGGTCCTTGAGGGTATCAGGCTAAGTGACATAAGTCAGAGAGGAAAAGATAAATACCCTATGACTGCACCCATGTGTGGAATATAAAACAAAAACAAACTCATAGATGCAAACAACAGATCATTCTTTAGCAGAGATGAAGTGGGAATGGAGGGAAGGTGAAATGGATAAAAATGGTCAATTTTATGGTGAGGTTTGGAAATTATACTTTTGGTGGTTACTACTATATAGTGAATATAGATGTGGAATTATAATGTTGCACACAAGGAATTTATATAGTTATATATCAATACTACTTATATTAAAGAAAACTATCAATTCCTACCTTTATTAGAGGGCATGGGGTACATATAGTCCACCTGTAGAAAAATTTCTCCTCTACTATCCATGTGGACCCTTATATACACTCTTTGTGGTTGAGGGTAATAGTCACAAAACTAGCTTTCATTCACCTTTTTGCAGGTCAAGTGCACTGGTGTGATGGCTGACTTTGAAGCTTGGAGGAGTTGATACACAGATTTGAGAGTTCTGCCAAAACTAAAATTGCAATAGATTTATCTTAATCTATTGTAACATGCACATAGTTATTTTAATTATGTCGACCTTCATAATAGCTTATGAGTCAAATGTTACAGATATTTATTATCCTCATATATAGAGATGAAAATTGGACTCAGATGTTCAATCTCTTGCTTCAGGTAATATAATCAGAAAATGATGAAATTATATTTGAACCCAGATTTTGTGATTTCAGAAGAGATTCTCTTACAACAACATAAAAATGCCTCTATTCACTTATTTTTCCTCAAAAGTGAAACATATAGCCATACTTTTTAAGAGAAAAAATGTTGCATTCTCTTAGTATGACTATGTATTTTTAGTGCAATGCTACTCAAAGACATAAACATATCCTAGGTTACGTAAATTTCTAAAGATTATCTTTCTCAGAAAAAAGAAAATGGAGAAATCCTAACATGAGAGGGACTTAATCTGCAGTTGTTGGTTTTGAAAATAAAAGTAAGGCACAACAAACCAAAGAATGCAGGTGGCCTCTAGAAGCTGAAAACAGCTAGCATAGAAACCGGGGTCTAAGATCTAGTGAGGAGAAAATGAATTCTGCCAACAAACAAATGGGTAAAATACAGATTTTCCCCTGGAGTCTCCAGAAAGGAATGCTGCCTGTCAACACCTTGATTTTCATCCAATGAGACCCATACCAGACTTCTGATCTACAGAACTATAAGATAATAAATGTATTGTTTTAAGCCCCTAAGTCTGCACTAAATTTGTTATAGCAATATTTTAAAAATAAATGGAATCAATGCAAGAAAAGTTGGTGAACTTCCAAGAAAGATAAAGGACTGACATGATATGATAAGAGATCATGAAATAAGATTATCAGGAAAGGAACTTAATCATATTTTCCTTTTAAAAACAATCAACCTGTCATAGTATAGAAAGGTCCTTTTGTAATTAGAGGGAAAAAATTGATTAACCTCACAGAGAAAAGTGGTTAAGAAGATTCTACACATAAAACTGCTGACAAAACTTTCCTGAAAGAGAAAAATAGCCAACTAGTCAGGCTACGTAAATGTTCTGAGGCAGGAAAATATTATAGCAGAACAGACAAGAGTACTCTTTACTGATGAGCACTTCTACATACAGGTAACCTAGACAAGGAAGGTGGTGCTATTTATAAAGTAAAATTTGGTTTGTCTCCAAAAATATGTGACTATTTTCTAAGGGGAAAGTAAAAAGTACCTGCCTCGCTATGCATGAAATCACCAAAGCCTTACATTCAGAAATCTCAACAGCATTCTGTAACAAGAAATTAAAAGTTATAGAGCAATTTGACACCATGTACTTCCTGATATAATAGGTTGTGAAGAACAAAACATCATTTCAATGGTATTCCTTGACAAAAGTGAATGAACTGAATCTAGCCATGAGGAAACAGCAGACCAACTGAAATTGGAGGACATGCTATAAAATAATTGTTATCATCTTTAAAAATAATTTTCTTAGACAAAGAAAATCTAAAAAACTATTGCAGATTAAAGAAAACTAAACAGGCATGACAGCTGAATGCAATATATAATTCTGTACTGAATCCTGGATCAGATTATTTTCTGTATTTATTCTCTAAAATACATTTATTGACATAATTGGTGAAAATAACACATACTGAAATATTTAGAAGTCATGAGGCAACTTATTGTTAAATGGTTCAGAAAAACGTACATGTGTAATATATGTATTTATGTGTATAAAAATAAATATAAAAATATAAACAAACAATTGTGCTTCTTGATATTTACCAAAAGTAGTTGAAAACTTATATCCACACAAACACCTGCACATGGATGTTTATAGCAGCTTTATTCATAATTGTCAAATGTAACCAAGATGTCCTTCAGCAGGTTAATGGATAAATACATTGGTACATTCTGACATTGGAATGTTACACAGTACTAAAAAAATGAGCTATCAAGACAGGAAAAGGATGGAGAAACCTTAAATGTATATTACTAAAGAAACCAATCTGAACAGGTTACATACTGTATAATTCCAACTATACTATATTCTGGAAAAGATAAAACTATGGATATATTAAAAAAGTCAGTGGCTGCCAGGGGTTGAGAGGAGAGGGATGAATATGCATAGCATAGAGAATTTCCAAGGGAGTGAAATAGTCTGTATGATACTGTAATGATGAATATGTCATTATATATCTGTTACACATAGAATGTATAACATCAAAAGTGAGCAATAATGTAACTATGGACTTTGGGTGATTATCTGTCATTGTAGGTTTATCAGTTAGGACATCATTTATTTGTGCCACTCTGGTAGGCAATGTTGATAATAGAGTAGGCTATGCATGTGTAGAGGCAGGGGGAAGATAACAAAACTCTGTAAATTCCTCTCAATTTTAAAAAGTCTTTTAAAAAAGTCAACAAAGTTAGTATCATCAATAATAAATGGGACAAACTGGTATTTGTGCCTTCTGATGTGATAAAATAGTAGGACCACAGCATACTTATATAGTCTTCTTGCTAAAAATGCTTAAATTAATTATGGGAAAACAGATAAATTCAGCCTATGGAATACAGGCAGCACAACTATCTGGACTCATTAGAAATGCCAATGTTATAAAAAAAAATTTTTTAAAGATAGGAAGCTGCCATATGAGATTTTAAAAAACTAAAATGGGCATGACGACTAAATACAGTGCATGATGTTTGACTGGATGCTGGGTCAAAACAAATACAAAAACTATAAAGAAAATTGTCAGGACAATTGGGGAACTTTGATATAAACAATATAATAGTGTTGTATCAATGTTAAATTTCTCTGAGTGTGATAATAGTAATGCCCCTGTTCTTAGGAGATAAACACTTAAGTATTTAGAGTTGAAGTGTCATATCTGCAACTTACTTCCAAATGGTTCAGCCAAAACAAAGTGTGTGCGTGTGTGTGTATACATACATATAGAGAGATATGTAGAAAAATAAACAATTGATGGATCAACCCAAAGAATGCCTTTTGACTTTTCTGAAAATTTAAAATTTTATTTAAAAATTGGTGAAGAAAAATAATTTTTGGAGATATAAAAGCTTATCTTTTCTGCTAATTATAGATCCTGCTGTTAAGTTCAGAAATAAATCAATGCATTCACTTTTCTTGGCAGAACATTTTCTGAAAAATAAAAGAAAAAGGTGAGTAAGTAAAAGAATAGATAAAGAAATATCATCCAAACAAAGGAAAGTCTATCAAATAAAATAGGCTTTAAATTCAAAAAGTAAAACAGGTAACTAAAAATAATAAAAGATGTGTCTGTTTCAGTTTTATGCACATAATAACAAAGCCTCAAATATATAAAGCAAAAGTTTACAGAATTACAAGAATCTGAAAAATCCACAATCACAGTAGGAAATTTTAAGCAAAATGGAGAAAGACTCACAGAGAGTAGGCTGACAACTGTAGGAGGCGTGGGTGCTGGGGGGAGGGGGAGGGAGGTGTAGGTATTGAGTAAAACATGAAAAAGAAAAGAACTCATAAACATGGAAAACAGTGTGGTGATTGCTGATGGGGGAGGTGGAGGAGGTTATGGGGGATAAATGGTGATGGAAGGACACTGGACTTGGTGTGGTGAACACACAATATAGTTGTACAGGTGATATGTTGTGGAACTGTGCATTAGAAACCTGTATAATTTTGTTAACCAATGTCATCCTAGTAAAGTCAATGAAAAGAAAAAAATAACTTTCTCCATAAATGATAGATTTAGCAACTAACAACAATAATGGTGATATAGAAGAAGAATAACTAAATTTAATAAACATTTATAGAACTCTACATGCAGTAATTAGAATCTATAAAATCTCTTCAGGTGTACATGAAACACTTAAAAACTGATCATGTTCTTTATAACACACACAAAAAACTGAACAAATACTAAATTATAAGTACCATATTAACTATAATGTTTGTACTATGTTCAATTAAATGGAAAAAAACAAAATGCTAAGCTAAAAAATATTTATGTACCCATATCTTGGTTTCTAAATATCATTTCCCATTAGAAGGTATCAGAGCTCCACAGAGAAATGGTTAATGAAGCAGGAAATACAAGATAAGCCTGAAACTAAGGAAGTAAAATTATTCTGAGGTCAAACTATATATCAAAGAATGATGGTGATGTGTCAAAAAGTCAGGGAAACCAGTCTGAGTTGGCTGCCACTGGATAAATCTGGGAAAATGAATAATAAATGATAGATATAGGATATCCATGAAATAAGTAAAAATCTATGTTTCCAAACTAACATAAATAAAAATCCAAATATATGGACAAAAATCTCTTCATTGAAGTAGAATACAAACTAATAAATGCAGTAAAAATTATGGAGTTTGAAAATTACCATTTTGCAGTCATCACAGTAAAAACTGATTCATTCAAGAATTGTCAGTGGCTATCAAACCAGTGGATTTCAGTTTGATGAGAAACAGGATATTTACAGTTTCAAAGTATCCCCAGCAAAATCATTAACTGCAAAGAGAAAAATGGTAACTTTACAAGGGTTTAGTCCATTAAGCATTATCTTAACCAAGTAATCAAGGTTAACATTACTTCTAAGGCAGTCACACCAGCATCATGTACCATTGATATGATACCCTGAGAAAAATATAACACTAGTCCTCTAGTATTCCTGCTAAAATGCAAAACAAAATATAATAATGAGAAAAAGGCACACAAATTTCAATTAAAGGGCATAATAATTTTCCTGTTTAAGTTGTCAATGTCATGAAATACAAAAACAGGTTGTACTGTTCCTAAGTAAGAAAACTGAAGAGATATGAAAACTAAATGTAATGCATTGTCCTGAATGAAAATTTTGACTAAGAAAAGAAAATAGCTATAAAAGACAATATCGGGACAGTTGGTTACATTGGAATATGGCCTAGATTATAATATTGGACAACAAATTTCAAAGTTTACTACAAAGATATAGTAGTCAAAACAATATGGTACTGGAGGAAGGTCCAAGATGGGGCAGAAGAGGACTCTGAACCTGCCCCTCCCACAAACACACCAAATATACACTTACATATAGAGCAATTCTTCCTGAACAGCTTCTGCACATCAAACTAGGAAAGGTTGAGGAACCACAAAAGCTCTCTAGGATCTGTGAGACCTCTCTAGAATTGGAGGTGGTGCTGCATGTACCCAATATGACTCCAAATGGCCTGTCAAAGCCACCCTGTACACAGAGTCTAATACAACACCACTTTTTAAAGATTGGGAGAGAAAGCTACTCTACTTAATTTATAGGGAAAGAAACAAAACATAACAGAAAGTCAAAGAAAATGACAAAACACAAAAACACGTTCCAAATAAAGGAACAAGAAAAAAGTCCAGAAGTAAACCCTACTGAAACAGAGATTAAGTAACTGCCTCATAAGGAATTCATAGTAATGATCATAAGAATGCTCACCAAACTTGAGAGTAAAATAGAGGAATTCAGAGAGAATGTCAAGAGTTAGAAAATATAATAAAGAATGAATCAGGGCTGAAGAATATAATAACTGAAATAAAAATTACACTAAATGGAATCAACAGTAGATAAGATAATACAGAAGAACAAATTAGTGACCTGTAGATAGATAGAATAGTGGAACTCACCCAATGAAAACACCAAAAAGAAAAAACAAACAAAGATAGTTTAAGGGATTCTGAGACAATATCAAGCACACAAAAAACTACATTATAGGGATCCCAGAAGGAGAAACAAGAGAGAGAAAGGGAAAGAAAATTTATTTGAAGAAATAATGCTTGAAAACTTTCCTAACCTGGGGCAGAAAACACACACACACACGTCCAAGTCCAGAAAGCACATAGAATTCCAAAAAAGATGAACCCATAGATGCCAACCAAGACACACTGGAATTAAAATGACAAAAGTTAAGGATATAGAGACAGTCTTGAAGGCAGCAAGAGGGAATAAACAAGTCACATACAAGGCAAACCTCATAAGGCTATTAGCTAGTTTCTCAGAAGCAACTCTACTGGCCAGAAGACAGTAGGTAGAATATATTTAAAGTACTGAAAAAAGAAACTTACATTGTAGAATACTCTACTGTAAAATAAAAAAGTAGAAAATGAAGGTTAAAAGACAAAATAGCAAAATTAACTATAGTTACAATAAGTATTAGGGGATACTGAAAATAAAAATATATGAAATAAAAAACTTAAAGTACAGAATGGGAGTAAAAATGCAGTTCTATTAAAATGCACCCAAACTGAAATGTCTATAAATTTAAATGGATTGCTATAAATATAAATTAACTCATATGAACTTCATGGTAACCACAAACCAAAAACTACAAAAATCATATAAAAAATGAAGATAGGAACTCCAAAAAACACTAAAGAAACCGAAAAAATCACAAGGGAAAAGATCAAGAGAAGAAAGTAACAGAGAAGAACAACAAAAACAACCAAAACACAATTAACAAAATGGCAATAAGCACATATCTATAAATAATTACTTTAAATATAAATTGACTAAATACTCCAATCAATAGACATAGGGTAGTAGAATGGATAAAAATGCAAGACCCACCTATACGCTGCCTACAAGAGACTCACTTTAGATCAAAAGACACAAAGGGACTGAAGTGAAGGGATGGAAAAAAGATATTCCATGCAAATAGAAACAAAAAAAAGCTGGGGGAACAATAATCATCTCAGATGAAATACTCTTTAAACAAATAATGTAAAAAGAGACAAAGAAGGACTTCCCATAATGATAAAGAGGTCAATCCAAGAAGGAAGATATAACAACTGTAAATACCTGTGGACCCAACATAGGAACACTCAAGTATATAAAGCTAATATTAACAGACAAAAAAGCAGAATAATAAAACAATAATACAAAAATAGTAGCTGAGGACTTTAATACCCTACTTACCTTATAGGATAGATCATCCAGACAGAAAATTAGTAAGAAAATAATGGTCTTAAATGCCATATTAGAACAGATTGTCTTAACAGACATTTATAAAACATTTCATCCCCAAACTACAGATTACACATTTTTCTCAAGTGCACATGGAACATTTTCCAAGATAGACCAAATACTAGGCCACAAAAAAGTCTCCATAAACTAACTGAAAAAGACTGAAATTATATCAAGCATTATTTTCTGATCACAATGGCACCAAACTAGGAATCAACTACAGGAGGAAAACTAAAAAAATAAATAAATAAAAAAAACCTTAAAGACGTGGAGATTAAACAACATGTTACTAAACAAAAACAATGGATCACAGAGGAAATTAAGCAGGAAATCAAAAACAACCTTGAGACAAATGAAAACACAACTTTATAAAATTCATAGGATGCAGCAAAAACAATTACAACAGAAAAGTTTATAGCTACACAGGCCCACCACAAGAAGCAAGAAAAACCCCAAATTAACAATGTTGAGTTTACACCTAAGCAAACTAGAAAAAGAGAAACAAGCAAAACCCAAAGTGTGTAGAAAGAAGGAAATAAAGTTCAGAGCAGAAATAAACAAAATGAAGACTAAAAAGCAATGGAAAAGATTAATGAATCTTAAAGCTGGATGTCTGAAAGAATAAATAAAATTGACAAGACTCATCAAGAAAAGAGAGCCCAATAAATAAAATCAGAAATGAAAGAATGGTTACAATTGACATCACAAAAACAAAGACTCATTAAAAAATATCAATGGCCCTGGCCGGTTTGGCTCAGCGGTTAGAGCGTCGGCCTGCGGTCCTGAGAGACCCGGGTTCGGTTCCCGCTAAGGGCATGTACCTCGGTTGCGGTTTGTCCCCGGCCCTGGTCGGTTGTGCGGGTGGCAGCCACTCGATGTGTTCCTTTCGCATCGATGTTTCTCTCTCTCTCTCTGTTCCTCTCTCTCCCTCCCACTCTACCTGAACAAAATAAAATGGAAAAATGTCCTCAGGTGAGGATAAAAAAAAAAAAAAAAAAAAAAAATCAATGAATTATATATCAACAAATTAGACAATTTTGAAGGAATACATTGATCTCTAGAAATATAAATCCTGCCAAGACTAAGCCAGGAAGAAACAGAAAATACAAACAGACCAAGTACTACTAACGGTACTGCAGTAGTAATCAAAACCTCTCAACAAACAAAAGCCCAGGACCAGATGGCTTCACAGGTGACTTCTACAGAACATTTAAAGAAAAATTAATACATATCCTTTTCAAACTATTCCAAAAACTTGAAGTAGAAGAAATGCTTCCAAACTTACTGTAAGAGGCCAGAATTATTCTATACCAAAACCAGAAAAATACCACACACACACAAAAAAAGGTAAGTACAGGCCAATATCCCTGATGAATATAGATGCCAAATTTATCAATAAAATACTAACAAATCAAATTCAACATTAAAAGGATTATAATTTGTGGAATAAAATGAGCCAAATAAGGTGATGAACACAATAAACCCAGAGACACAGAAGTAGAGTTCAGACTGACAAACTTCAGAACAGGGGGTGAGGTGGTGGGGGGGAGAAGAGATAAACCAAAGAACTTATGCATATATGCATAACCAATGGACACAAACAACAATGCTGGGGGAGGGGGGGGACAGGGTGTCAATCGGGAGAAAAGAAGAAATATCTGTAACAAAAATAAATTAATTAAATAATTTTTAAAAAGGATTATACACCATGATTAAGTGGGATTTTTTCCAGGGTTGCAAGAGTGGATCAACATCCACAAAACAATGTGATCCACCACATCAACAAAAAAAAGGATAAAAATAATATGATCCTCTCAATAGGTGCAAAAAAGCATTGTACAAAATTCAACACCCATTTTGTGATCAATTCTACTCTCAACAAGGTTGGTATAGAAAGAACTTACCTCAAATGATAAAGGCTACATATGAAAAGCCCAAAGCTAACATCATCACAATGGTGAAAACCTCAAAGCTTTTCCTCTAAAACTAGGAACAAGACAAGGATACCTTCTCTCACCACAATTATTAAATATAGTACTGGAAGTTCCTGGCCACAGCCAACAGACAAGAAAAAGAAATCAAAGGTATCCAAACTGGAAAGGAAGATGTAAAATTGTCACTATTTGCAGATGACATTATACTGTATATAGAAAATCCTAATGAATCCACCAAAAATTAATAGAATTAGTAAATGAATTCAGTTATATAGCAGGATACAAAAATCAATATGCAGATATCCATCATGTTTCTATACACTGCTAACGAATGATCAGAGGAAAATTTAAGAAAATAATCCCATTTACAATAGTACCAAAAATATTTAGGAATAAATTTAACCAAGGTGAAAGACTTCACTATAAAAACTACAACAATTGAAGAAATAAAATAAAGAGAACACAAATAAATGGAAGGATATACTGTCCTCATAAATTTGAAGGATTAATATTGTTAAAAGAACCATACTACCCAAAGCAATCTACAAATTCAATGTAATCCTTATAAAAAAAATTCCAATGACATTCTTCATAAC